CCATCTAGACCTTTGAACCCCATATTGAAATTCCTAAATGAGAACCAGGGGCCGTAATTCGCTCTCGCTTCCACAAAGCAACCTCTGTCATCCCTTGACAACAAGGACAAGCCCCTTTAGATCATAGATCAATTCTCGTTCATCCAACCGGGGTTTTTAAAAGTCCGGATACCAAATTAAGCTTATTAGTGAATATGCAGGGGAGCAAAAGATTTCCCATCTAAAAGTACAAGAGCGTCAAGATACCCAACTCAGCATCGACTAATAAAATAAGTAAGGCACATATCTAAATACTTTATCTTCCTTCTTCATCTCTGATTATAATTCCTTGACAATATATCATCGAATCTTCAGCAAAGTAAGCTACCGAGCAAGCTTCTTTAAAATAAATTAGACAATTATCATCAAAGTTTCGCAAACATGCACGCCGTTACCATCACAAGCTTTGCTGCTGCCCTTATGGGTACTGTTGTTGCTGCTCAAACCAGCTCAGTTGTCGACCTCTATCTCATTGGATTTGATTCTGGAGATTCGGATGCTGCTCAACCTCCATTCGTTGGATCCATTATTGCTTCCGTAAGTACTATTCACAAACACCAGAATCCAAGCATTTCTAACCATATGCTTCATATTTTAGGACGCTACCGCCACTACATACTCTATTACCTGTGGTTCTACAACCGCCGCTCCAGCCACAACCTCTTCCATCTCATACGATTATGGGTATGATAACGATTGTGGTGTCCCCGAGAACTTCACATTTACTCAGGGACCCTCAACAATTGGGTATGCCTACAGTGCCACCTATGAATTTGACGTTACCATGACTGGCAGTGCTTCCTCCACTGTATCATATGCCGATTCAGCGTACGTATCCATCATCCATCCATATTACCAACCACCTACTCCTAACCAAATACTAACACCCATTCTCCAGACAATACACTGTTGGCTGCGTTCTCTCCGGTACCTCTTCCGCCGTATGCAGCGCCACCGACATCGGAACCGATCGTACAACAAGCACTTCTTCCGCCGAAACGACCACCCTCACGGGCAGCAATCTATCAACTCTCTTATCCGCCATCCCTGTCACCATTACCGCTGGACCTACCAGCGCTTCTGATTCGGCTGCACGGACTACCATGAGTGCTTCTAGCCCAACGGGTTCAGCTTCCTCGTCTGGTTCGGGCTCTCCTGCTTCCACGGGAGGCATGCCGATGATTACTGCCAAGGCACAATGGGCTTTTGGAGGTGCGGCGGCTGCTATGGTTATGGCTGCGTTGTAATTGGAGATGCTTGGTACAAAGGAGCCTGAGTGTCGAATTTAATATAGCTTGCATGCAAATATACGGTGTATTGGTTTGGGGCGTTTAATTGCACATATATCATCCAGGGTGGAATGGAGTTTGATTTTAGAAAATACTGGTAGCATGAGATATGACTGCACAGGTTAAGCAACGAAAAGACTTTTTAATACATCATTGGACTACTAGTAGTATTGCCAGTGTTCTCAAAAGTTATCCTTGGTGTCTATTGCATTCCAGCGATGAATCGATCTAGAAGATTGAGATCATTTGAGATGATTAAGTCATCCTAAATTCCCAATGAAAAGAAACCTGACTCATCAATCTAAAATCTAGAAGACAAATCGCGATTATTCAAGTGTTATAAAGATACTTAGGAACGTTGGAGCAGTATCTTAATTTAAAATCGAGAGTATTATATATAATTTAGTAGTAGATCTTATAGTTTTTGAATAGTAATTTGAAATAGATCAAGCGAGAAGAATGAATATTAGAGAATCAATTTAATACTCAAGAAAATAAAATTAAGCGTAAGCTATTTTAAATAGAAAGAACTAGTAAGAACTATATTTATAATAGAATTATACTTTTTATTCTTTTAATTAGTTCGTTTTATAAATTATTAGTTAAGTACTAGCTATTTGAATAAAATTAAGAATAATTAGAATTTTTTATTTTAAAAGATTGTAAATCTTCTTTATAAAAATATAATATATAGAGAATATAAATTAAAATATTTCTAGATCTATAAGATAATTATAATTATAAATCAAGATAATAGAATGAAATATATCTAGTAGTTATTGTAGCACTGAAAAAGATTAGAGAAAAGAAAAAAACTCGATTTAGTAAGATCTTACTAAGACGTTAGCGCAATACTATATAAGCTTCGCTTCGATTTCTTATTATCGAGTTCAAGTTTATTGATTAAATTTTCTCGGGTGTAAACAATCTTTCTATACTAGTAAGCCCATAGCTTTTTACAAATCGTTAATTCACTATCAACTGTGCGTATTGTCACACCCATTAATCTGTTATCTTTCATGCTTTAACGTCTTGAGATATCATATCCGTTCCACAATCTAATTTTACTACCTGTCTTCATTTTGTTCATCATGACCAGGCGCAAATGGTAGCTTGAAAAAGCAGACATCTCCGTGCTTTCCACAGACCAACCATCTAAGCCCGCGAAATCAATCATCATGGACAACCATGGGAATAGAATTCAAATTACTATCAATAAGATCCAATATTAGGTAGACAAATACCCTGTGAATCATATAAGTACCATGATCAAAAGTCAGGCAACCGATGCTTTCACCCCAGCAACAGTGATCAATGTGGAGTCACGACTGGTTGACGAAGAATGGCTAAAGACGAAGTTGTGTCAAATGGATTTGAAAGATGATGTTTTCAACCTAGCATTTATCTCTATAATTCTGTTCAATTCTGGTACAGGAAAGGTTGAAGTCACGCCCGATGGTCCACAGTACTTGAAATCTATTGGAATGCTATGGTTTGATTCCCTTCCGACCGCAACCGTTATTCCCACAGGGCCTTATATCTGGCATCTTGGTCACATTTTCAAGGTATGGAGACTGTATCTTGACCCCAATGGAGCTTTTATATAACCCGTGATCCAGAACTCGATCGAGTTCGACAGGTATGTGGTCCATTCCATGAAACAGATTATGTCACTCAGAGATGTAGATATGAGGCGTTTGAATCCAGCTTCATCCCTGTACCCTCGAGGCTCTACTACGATACTCCCAGCTCAGAAAAACCATTGTCGGGTTGCCGTCTAGCAATCAAGGAGATTTATGACCTCAAAGGAGTCCGTACTGGTTGCTCAGTCCGTGACTTCTTACCTCTCTATTCTCCACCTGAGGAGTCTGCTTTCGCTATTCGAAACTTCATCGCCTATGGAGCCGTAATAATAGGAAAGACAAAAACAACTCAGTTTGCTTCAGGAGAAGGTTCTATGGACTGGATTGATTACCAATGCCCTTTCAATCCTCGCGGAGACGGTTATCAAGATACATCGATGAGTAGTGCTGGAAGTGCCGCTGGGCTCGCAGCTTATGACTGGATCGATTCATCACTCGGAACAGATAGTGAGGCAATCCTGCTACATTCAAATTGTTTATTAACCAAATCTTTAGCATTCAGAAGTATACTCTGGCCAGCTTCAGCACACGGCTTGTTTGGCCTTCGTCCCACACATAAAGTCCTGGATAATTCTGGTGTACTTTCTCTTTCTGAGTATATCACCGTGCACATAACCTGAATCTCCAGCACTAATGCCATTACAGACACCTTGATACAGTGGGCCACTTCTCCCGAAGTGTAGATAGCTTTTATAGATTGGGAGATGCATGGTTCAATGGCACTCCTCAACACAAATTCCAAGTTGTTCTTCCTATGGCTCGATGCCAAGCCTGCTAACTGTCTCCTTCAGCTCCCGAAAAGAATACTTTTCCCCTCGGAATTCTGGAAACGTTATCAAACAGAGTACCTCGCCTCCGTCGTGGAGGATTTTGTTCAAGATCTCGAGAAAGCTTTAGATGTTGAACGAGTCGACTATAACATCGAAAGTGAATGGGCCTCTGCATCTTTATCGCCATCACACATACCATTGAAAAATTACCTCGCTACCGTTAGTGGACTTTCTTTTCTGCAGGTCAAATTGCTCACGCTCCAGCAGACACTCTCCACGATCCAGCTCTATGACTGCTACCACAACAACGCTAAATTCCGAGATGATTTTCCAATTGTAAATGGTCATCCACCTTACGTGAATCCCATGATTCGATTCAAGTGGTGAGGTTCCACATTTTTATATACTTTCTGACATACTTTCTACTTCTTGTGACAAAGCTAATATCCATGAAAGGAAACTCGGCGCTCAGATCTCAAGGGAGTCATACGAGGAAGCTCTTCAGCAGAAGAAAATCTTCCATGATTTCTTGAGCAGCAACATATTTGGACCCGATACCATCATGCTGCTCCCTGTTGGTGCGCCTTGGCCCTCATATCGCGATACCTATCACGGTGTGTATTATTGAACCTCCCCTTGTCTAATTACAAATCTCGAATTTCTTTCGGTGCAAGGCTAATAGAATCTCTCTAGAGCCGCTGAAGATACAGGAAAGAGACTGCAGGGCTTTGGCTTCAGCTCGATCTCGATCTCTACCTTGGACGGATTACCCCAAGTTGCATTTCCAAGCGAGCATCCCCTTCTATTGCTATTAAGATGCACGCTAAACAAATATATTAGTCGGGCAATACACTTATAATTCTCGGGTTACCGAGCATGAGGAGATCCTGCCAGCAGTAATCTCAATCGTGGGTGCAAAGAGTACGTCCTATTGCATTCAGCTTCCTCTTTCCATTTCCTTCATATAATCATTACCGAAAACGTGCCGACGTGTAAGCTATCTAGACACGGATCTCTCACTTATCAACTTGATCAAGCACGTCTTTGAAGAGACCAAGAGACCTCTGGAAATAGCGACAGGAAAAGTTGCGTTTCCTAGTCTTATTCCTTCCTGATTAATTCGGTCAAGTGCGAACTATGAATGAGGTTCTACCGCATCGCAATACTCTTGTTGATCAAAATGAAAATTGGTACTTCCCGTCAAAAATGTTGAAATTTTACCGATGCTGTTTAACAATCTTCAAATTTGATGTAAATTTTAGACTAATCGTTTGATTTCGTAAAGTTATAAAAGGTACAATCAAACAAAATATCTCGCAAAAGCATCCCCAGTTAGTAGAAACATCGCGAGCGGGGCGACGGTTGCGACTAATTCGAGGAATTTGCCTAGGTTACCCTCAAAAGAATATCATGTATACTCGAGTACCGGTACCATATTTCAAATACTATCTTTTGAACATTTTATATACCAGTATATATAATATTCAACTACCAGCCAGCCTCCTACAGTCAATAAACATCAAAAATACAATACCCATCATCTATAAGATTTATCCCTGCGCCATAAGGCCACATATATTACGGCCTCGGATCAGAAGTAACCGGAAAGATAAGTTGTTGTCCGCAGCAGCGTCAGCCACCTTCTCCGAACCACTAATACACTACATGTACTGAATCTAGTGGTGCGCAATAAAATTTTATGCTGAGAAGATGATTTGTCGAGTTTGATATAGAAGCTGTATTCTTGGGTTTTGGAGAGACTTCTCATAGGGCGCGGGTATTGAGGTCATTTATTTATGTTTGTTTGTTTCCTCTTACTTTTTAGCTGGATATGTTCATCTCATTTCAAAGATCTCCAGTTTCATACAAACCATTCCATATCGAGGTCTCTTGCGCTTGTTTGCCTACTCCATTACCTTGAGATATTGAAACTTTCTACTCCATCCTTTGTTCTATCGACCATTTATTAGTAGTACCGTACTTACAAATATCACTCTGCATAATGGCAAAAAGAAGTGTCTTCACGACGGTGACGCCTTTACCAACGGGTATCACACGAGAGACAGTGATGGAGACTTTGCGCTCGCATGTCGAAATGATAGACTTGAACCCTCTGGTGGAAGAGCGCCATCCCATCAAACCCCCACCAAATGCTACCGCGGAAGAGTATCACTGCTTATGGTACTCTTTGACTGATCGAGTTCAATACCTTCCGGGAGGACTGATGTCTGGCAAGGTCTCCTACACCTGCTGCTTCCATGATCTCGAAAACGGTTTGCAAACACACTGCTATGCGCCTATGGGATTAAATATAAGAGGAAAGTGGACTCTTGGTGGATCGCTCCCTGGAGAGCCTGTAGCGCCGGTTGAAATGGGAGCTGGTGTACCTCTACACGGATTGTGGCTGAGAGAAGATGTGGACATGAAATGCAACATCGTCATGACAAGTTTCGTTAAGAAGACGCTCAAGAAATCACACTCTGCGTTAGTCAATCGTCTAGTAGTCAAGGCCCAACTTCTAGATCGCTCCATCAACAATGCTCGACTGAACGAGAGAACACTCGAGACACCAGAACTTGCCACCCTACAACCCGCTTCATCACTACTTTCTTCATCCCAAACACCACCAGCCTCATCACTACTTTCCTCATCCCATGCATCAACGGCGTATTCTCCCCTCAGTGATTATGACAATGATAGTTTATACGCGGAGTCGGAAATTAGCTCACCACAATATAAGACATTTGCTACGACAAACGCACAGCCTCCACAGACACCAAAGGTATACCCACCTATAACCTTACAGAATCCTCAACTACGGATCTCACAACAAGTACATCCAGCCCTAAGAGCCGGCCTACCTCCACCACAAGCAAACCTCGAGCATAGCGAAAAGCCTATCTATCCAAAATATGATCCCTCGGCCTATCCCCGAGCCCTCGATGTCCGCCGAGAAGGTGCATCTTCTTGGAACGACTCCATACATGGTACTGGAAACTCTAACCGTCACACGTCTTATCAAGGTTCTGTCGCTGGCATGCGTGATGATGGTAACAGGGCAAGAGTAGGATCTTGGCAGAATGTAGCGAGGAGTGATATGTGGAATTCGTCACGGCCACTAGACCCAAACTCACAGAGAGCCGCAGCTCACTATCGAAGAGCTTCTTCCCAGTCGGCCTATAGAAACTCGCCTTCTGAACAGGAAAGGAGGGATGATTCTGGAAGACAGGATATGAGGAATAGTGTCGTTCCACCTCCATTAGCTTATCATGCCGAGCTAGAAGGTTGAATGCTGAAAATCAATTTGGTGTGGAATTTTAAAGGGAGTGCAATATTGTGCCGAGGACTCAAAGTATCTTGAGCTGTGTATGACATCATATTGCGGGCACAGTCTTGGTTGGCTGGTGTATGGTGCAGAGGTGGATTGATAAGATACCCAGGGAATTTATGAGAGGTTATGAGTTAAGGGATGGGACAGAACGGATCAGACTAACCTGGGATCAGAATTACAAAGCTCATATCAACTATTTATTGATACACTCATATCTCAAGATCTTTATGTGAATATCCCTAGGAATGATCTTGAATTCAAGTCAGATATGGCAATAACGCTTCCTATCATCCCATACCATAGTGAACTCTTTGGTGAGGTTTAATGATTATAAATGGAAGCAAGAAAAGGAACAGTCTTGTGAAAGGTAGAACGAGATCTATTGAATGAAATTCAATTATTTATATTTTTTGAATTTTTCGAACTCTATAAATCTAGGCAAAGCCAGAATCTATTATCAAAGTTCAAGATGGCCCCCTTGTTCGAACTTCGGATAGACTTCGGGTCGTGGTAATACTTTAGCTGTACAAACAATCAATCAGTTCCATCCGAGTCTTCCTATTATAATTTATATCACAATTCTATGCCCTGCTTCGATGCCCCAAAGAGTGCCATACAATTCGCTCGGGATTATTTTCTGGCCAAATATACTAGGTAATATATTCTAGCCAAGAAAACCAGCCATCGCATTCCATTAACTTCGACCCGAACGGATATCGATATCTCTTACATTCATTGATCAGCCTACCTAGCTCAGAATACATATCCCATCATTCAGCATATTACATTCACAAAACTCTTGACCGATCTCTTTCTTTTCTCGCTCAAGTCAAATAGTAACGCGCCCATTTTCTACAATGTCCGAACAAACAGTCAACATCCCACAACTCATCATCATAATCTTGGTTGGAGCATTCGCTATACGATATCTGTTTTTCTCTGGCACAAACACCGCAACGTCTGGTGCAAATCGCAATAGCGCAAACAATATACGAGCGCGAGAGGCAGACGTAGAGCGTATACAGCAGATGTTTCCACAGGTGTCGAGGAGGAGTATCATGTGGGATTTACAGCGGAATGGAGGGAATGTGGTGGCTACTACGGAGCGGATATTGAGTGGTAGAGGCTTGGAAGTTGTGAGTACTTTGAAATTCTCTCCATGTTGTGATGTCTTGCGACAAATTCTAGATTTACCCGCTTTCCATGGCATCCTATGTACCTCCGCTAACACACACCACCAAGCCTCCCCAATCTTTCCAACCTCCTCTTCCAGTAACTCCCACCGCCTCCTCAGCCTCGGTTCAGTCATCTAAGCCCATTCAACCTGATCTAATAACGCGATACAATTTGAGAGCGAAGCTAGCAGAAGAACAAGTGGAGAAACGAGAAGCCGAGGCCCTAGCAGCCAGCGAGACGGAATCGAAAAATAACCAAGGAGGAAAGGTACAGGCATGGAGTTCTAACAAAAATGAAAGACAGGCGCTTTTGCAGAAGAGGAGAGAGGAGATGATCCTAGCGGCGAGGAGGAAAATGGAGGCGAGAGTCGCGGAGGAGGTTAACAAAGGTGGTGGTGCATAGATGGGAATGAGACGAATGGAGGGGGTGATAGGATGTTAGGTTGAGACGAAGAGACGAAGAGAGGAAATACGCAGGGGTATGTAAAACTTCTGTACAGCATGTCTATAATGATTCTGGTAGCGAATTCTATTCCTACAGCGTTAAAACTAAAGCAGGTATTTACCATTCCAGCTGCGTTAAGTGCCAGTAAATCCCCGAATGCTTGACTGGTTGGCTTTGCCCCATACCATACTCTTGCTTTGAGACGATCGCTTTTATCATGAAACCTTGATGCATGCGTATCTATATCTCATTTTTCTTCATGAATCCATGAGTTGGATCAGAGTTTGAGAAGACCTAAAGCGTTCTTCTAAACCGCCTCAAGGCACCTATGTGATCTTGTAGTATTTGCCGGGGGTATCGCGTAGCATTTTATTTCTCGTACAGTGTTGAGGATGATGTGCTATAGCTCTACATATCATACGTTTTGCGGGCGTTGCCCTTCAACTACGAGGGTGATAGATGCACCTGCCAAATATGGCAATTGCATGCACTCTACTCGAGTAGTTTTGAAAGAAGTATCGACGACCCACGTCCTTGCATCAGTGAAGAGAATATCTTCCACCCGTCGTTGATGTAAATCTTTACATCTTTCTTCTTTTGCAACTCTATCCTAATACAAAATTCAAATGTTTTCATATCCCTTGTTCATTTTTCTATGGCAAATACCCATTAACAATAAATACCAGTATCTCTAAGGCGCAAAGCGTCATGAGGCGTTCAAGCCTTCGCTGGTCTCAGCAGAGCACCGATGGCGCAAACTCTCCTTCCCCCGTTCCCCCTACGACAACCTCTTCCAATTTCCGTGGCTCATCATATTTCACGTCAAAGGGAGTAAAGCGGGTAAAGAAAACGAGCGAAGATTCGCCAAGTGTTTCATCTCCCTTATCTTTCTGGAGGAAGACTTCTTCAGACGTCAAAGAGACGCCTAAAGCTGACATTTCTGAGGACATCCCCGAATTAATAGCAGAGCCAAAGTCAAGAAGACAAGATGTGCAAGATTGGAACATCACGAGACTTTTCGATCCGAGGCCTGGAGATCCAATCAACAAGATACTGATGCCAGGCGGCCCATCTCATAGCAATTCAGACTGGAACGTGACAAGAAATTACAATACAAGATCAGCTACTCCACAATTATCGATTGATCCACCTCGACCTGCGCGTGAAGGTTATGAATGGGTGTGGTTTCCAGCAGGGTACTGGGCCGAGCGCCAACTGCCAGCAATTCTCCTTAGCACCCAGACAATATCAGAAGGACGTAAAAGTAGTAAAAGTAATCTGTTCTCCAGATATGCTGAACGCAAGAGCAATGATTCCGAAGACTCCACATCGCCAAGAGGCTCTCGGAGATTCTGGGGTAGTTTTTCCTCCAAGGTTGCCAAACAGTATTCAGGGCAATCGTTCAGGGGCCGCTCCAACAATGGTTCTGCCATTTCTTCAAGCAAAAGTGAGAGATTTATCAATGGCTTGCAATCGTTGTCACCAACTCGTTCTCGCCATGCTGCTCCCTCGGGCGAGCTCGAAGGGCTGTTTTGTAAGACAAAGCGTAGCCTAACTTCAACACGTCATCTTGCCGTGCCCTTCAGCAGGAAGAAGAATTTTGTATGCAATGATAATCTTTTCCGTCAATGATATTGGCTAACTCTCATACAAAAGATCGACACATCATCTGTTGCGTCTTCACGAGTTACAACATCTACTACCCATACTGCTCAAATTCTCGAAGGCGCTATTGGTTACTTCGATGCATACGAAGATAAGAACACCGGAGACCCATCGACTATCACACCGGCATCCTCAAATGCATCGCCGGGCTCGAAACGCCGATGGAGATTTGGAGCAGCTCCGTGGCATGGGAGGTTATCAGACAATTCTATCTCAGCGTCTAGTTCCTTATATGATGTACTAGTCGGAAGAACACCAATGGGAACACCAAAATCCGAACCACGTTATATTGGTGCAACAGGGAAATCATACCCGAAAGGTAATTAGTCCACTGTGGACTGATATGTGAAACTCTATACTGACAGCAGTTCCAGTTGAAATATCGGATCCTAACGCACCTACTTTTCTACCATCTGTAAGTATACCTGTTACCGGTGTCTACGGAGGTGGCTTTTGCGATCCCTGATGACCACTTTATCTCTCATCCATGCAGAAAAATAGAGCCCGAAGTCGAGTAGACCGTGCAGAATGTATTTAACAACGTGAACTAGGAAGCACAACGTATCGATACTCCTCTATGGTCCCCCAAGCGAGACCCACGGCGTGGCTTCCTCTCAAACATATTTCCATACGAAGAGCAAATGATACGAGAGAAACACCGCCGTGGTACGGTTAGACCGCGACGCGATACAACTCGATCGACCTTGCGCAAATTGCTGACCCCAACACTAACTCCAATTAGCCGTCGCGCGTCGTCAGATTCGCAAAATGATTCCGCGGTGAGGAAATCTTCGACTTTTAGATCTTCCCCATCACGACACATGTCAAAAGCCCAACCATTTGAGCTCAATGTTCCAGATCACTTACCTAATAGCCCCCTCTGTCCAACGAATCCTATGAATGCGAGCAAAGGCCAGGGAATATGCCCATTGCATGGCCGTAAAAGAAGCCGGAGTCACTCGCCTAGTATGAGTCGAAGTCCTATCGGTATGTCTGATATTGAGATAAAAGTGACGCCAGACTGAGGTTGTAATGGGGTTATTTTGAGAGTGATTACTGGATACAGTCTTTCTTTCCACTCAAGGGAGCTTTTGCGGATTGATAGCGGATTCAGATTGGGCCTTGTAAATTACTAAACCAAGCGAAGTCTTACGAACGTATACTATTCTGGCTTTTCATTGATGTTCATTCTAGCTTGGAAACCCACAACCAAAGATTGGTCGTTCATCATTATATATACATCAGAATCTATAAACCTTGTATGATACGACTCCTAAAGGGTGTACATGTAGAATAGCCGAGAAATTTCAATTCGCCTGTGGCTTGATTCGGCAGCCGTAATTTATTGTATCGCAACAAGCTGCAACAGCCTGCAAGAGCTCACCTTTCAGCAATCTTGCTTTCTACTCCATCATACCATCTCAAGAAAACAACCCCAAAAAGTATCCCTCCTTGTGGCATCAATCGATTCGAAAATCATGTCAGCTTCCGATCAAGATCCCTTACTCCTCCTGCGACAATCGATAGCATCAGAAAATCCTTGTATACCCACCATCACAGAAGATGGTTCTTCAGCATCCTCGGTAGACCTCAGTTTAGCAACAGCAACCTACTTACATTTCACCTCACCTCTCCAAGTGTCGATTCCACTCACGACGCCCACACGTTTCATTTCCTCTGACAAACCTGTGAATCTTCGCAGCATCTACTTCGCGTGGCAGCAACGCGAACTCGCGATCCCGGAATACAATGCTTCTTCAACGGAATTGAGCGCGCAACTGGCAGCAGAGGGTGGTGTTGGTGGTGAAATTCAAAATCTGCCGTTTGTGGAGCGTCTGGATCTTATTACGTGGTTGGAGGGTGCGTCGGACGAATCGCAATACATCAAGCCCTTGGCTTCAGATACATCAAATGCGACAGCTTCGGCGCAGGTTGCTTCTGGGGCCGCTGGAGGAATAGCACCAGTTACGAGTGGTGCTGGAGGAAGACAGGGAAAGCAGATTGATCCTAGGCTGGCGGAGATCTACAATGGGGAAAGGAGGATGGGAGATAGGAATAGTGTGTTGAGAGGGATTAAACCTACTGTATGTGATTTATTACCATGTCACAATCTCTTGAAAAAGAGGAATATCGAGATTGAAAACTGACTGATTTGATGTAGGACTTCTCTCATGTCCGCAAACTCGCATCGCCATTTCTCTCACGCAAATCTTCACACCCTGCCGCACAAAACCTGGCAAACAACCCATCACTCGCGCACAACCTCAAAGCTCCCGTCCGCCGCCCAGATCCCATTATACTTCTCTCTCCCTCCGCATCTTCTATTCTTCGCATGTCAAATATTAAATCATTCCTCGAGGGCGGTGCATTTATTCCTGAAGATTCTGCAAGCTCTACATCCAGCTCGTCGGCTTCGATTTTGCATATTTCGCGCTTTATACCCTCGATAGATCCTGCGCGACCAGTCCGTTTCATTATTGTGGATACACCAGAACAATTCAAGCCCGAGTATTGGTCGAGAGTTGTGGCGGTCTTTACAACAGGTCAAATTTGGCAATTTAAAAATTACAAATGGCCACAGCCGACAGATTTGTTCAGAAATACTTTGGGCTTATTCGTAGGATTTAGAGGAGAAAGTTTACCGGATACAGTTAAGGGATGGGGAAGTGGAGTCTTAGCCTCGCAGGTTGAAAGATGGGCCCCGCAAGCAGGTACAGCCAGTAGGTGGAGGGATAAGGAAGTCGTGGAGAATATTTGGAAGGCTATTGAGGGGAACATGAAGTCGAAGGGTTGGAGGAGGGATTCTGGTCCTGTTATCTGAAAATTGAATAAGGGAGGAAAGCAATGAATATATTTGTACCAACGAGTTGTTTATCGCGAATGGAGAAAATAGGCGCTCAGGAGTTACTATTAGTTAATCTGGGAAGAAGGTCCTTCAGAAAATTCTCTGGACCGGTAATGGTGGAGAGTGTGCTATACCATGCATAGTTCTTAGAGGCGTAGAGGTTTATGATATTCGATAAATCGAAGAACCACCAGATGAACACCTTGAGTTGAAAGGTTAGAGTCGATTCTGTATCATGTACTTTAAATTCAGAGAAGTGAATATACAGAAGATTTGAACGCAATGACACTAATATGAAGACTTTCTATATCATCTGAATGTGTTTTCTTTCAATATCCAATATCCTTGGATTCTGGGCAAAACCTTGAGTTGCGGGATCAGCTTCCTCAAATTATAAGGGTTCCGAGCCGGCCGGATAGAATCGTCCTTCCCTAATTCCGCGTCATGAGTTTCTCGTATTAAGGGCTTCTCTTCAGCATCAACAACTCAACAATCACTGCATACTTTAATTTCAAAATACAAGTGCAAAGTTCTCCCCTATACATACTCTCAGGATACAATGTAATACTCACCATAGGAATAATCCACGATGATGGTGTTCTCGGGAATTCTCAAATCAACCAACCAAACCCTTTCTCATCCCTCAGCCACAGCTACCCTGGATTCAACATCACAACAAATCTCATCAACTTCTTATGACAGAGGTAGAAGTAGGTCACCTACAGCGACGTCGATATCTTCGATTCCGGATTTGTCGGGAAGTCCATATATCCGAGCGAAGGAAAACCTTCCACCCCTAGATGCCGAAATACCCGATCTTCGCGAGCTGAACCATAGCCTTGAAGCGCTTGCGACTATTTTCCCCGATGTCCAGGTCGAGGTATTCCGCGAGATGCTCTCGAGCTTTGAAGAAGAATCTAGACTGGCTGTTGTGACAGAAGCTTTGCTCAAACATAAGATGAAATATGTGCGGGGACGATATAGGGTCGCGCCGAAGGGGAAAGAGGAACAGAAGGCTGCAGGTAATGAGAATGTGACCAATCAACAAGACCCGAAGGGGAATGTGTCTGCAGAAGAGAAGTTCAGGACCGAGGGATACAAGAAAGCTGTAAAGACAGTGGCATACCATGAATTCAAGGGTCTGCCGCGGTCGACAATCAATGCGGTATTGGCGGAACGCAACCATTCTTACACATTGGCTCGACCTACACTCGTCGACTTGTCTTCGAAGTCCTGGCGATTTTCTATATCTTCATTCTTCTCTCGTCGGAAACCTCTGACGACGGTGGAAGCGGGGCATCATCCTCTTGTGATTTGGCAATCAACAGGGCAAGGCTCTATAGTACCAACGATCAAGGCCACTGGATCACCGGAATTGGATAAAGAACTATTTGATTCTCTTATTATACCATTACAGGAACGATCATTATTGGAACGAGAGGAGAAAGATCATGCTCTGGCACTCGAAATAAATAACCATGATGCAGAAGAACAGGAAGCCTTGCACGATTGTGAATGTTGTTATACTGCATATGCATTTGAAGAGCTTTCTGCGTGTGATATCGGAGGCCATTTCATATGCTTTCAGTGTATTAGACACGCAGGTAATGAAGCTATCTTTGGACAAGGATGGCAAAGGATCATTGATCTCAACAGTGGAACACTAAGGTGCCTAGCGGCCATGTCGGATGAATGCAAAGGATGCGTCCCACAGGAGCAGGTGCGACGAGCTTTTCTCGAAGACAAAGGCGAAGAAATTTTGCGGAAACTTGACGAACGTCTAATCGAAGACAGTCTACTGAAAACTGGACTGCCACTTATACGCTGTCCTTTCTGCAGTTATGCTGAGATTGATGAGATCTATCTCCCAAAGGCTCAACAATTTTGGCGTTTGAAAAGACTTGGCCCATCTTCTATCTATACTATTTTGATTTCGGTTTTGGGCGTTGGCATGATACCCTTCCTTTTACCTTTTTGCATCCTTTTTTCTTTTTTGTTTTTATGTCTCTCTTCAAAACGAACCTTTGGCGACTATGCTATCGAGCAATTCAAGGACTCTATTATTCGTTTGCGTAGGAAGCAACATGGTCTCAAATTTGTTTGCCAAAATCAACGATGTGGAAGATCTTCATGTATTTCATGCTCGAAAGCATGGAACGATATCCATATTTGTCACGAGTCTTCTTTACTTGCCTTGAGAACGCAAGTCGAGCTTGCCATGTCCTTAGCGATCAAACGTACCTGTCCGCGTTGCAACACGTCATTCGTGAAATCTTCGGGCTGCAACAAATTAACTTGTGTCTGCGGATATCAAATGTGTTATGTTTGTCGCAAAGATATTGGGTCTGGTGAAGGATATAGACATTTCTGTGAGCACTTTCGACCAAATGGTGGGAGACGTTGTACGGAGTGCTCAAAATGCGATTTATACCGATGTGAGGACGATGAGGTCGTGGTCAAGAAAGCCAAAGAAAAAGCGGAAAAGGAGTGGATGGACAAGGAGGGTGGGGTAATAGGCGGCGATGAAAAGGTTCGAAAGGTATTGCAGCAGAAATGGAAAAAGGGGAGAGATATTACTTGGTGGCAGGGGGAAGGGTGGTGGCAGTGGAATTTGCCGAATAGTGAGCAGATACTTGATGCTATGGTCGAGGGTGTTATTGAATAATTACGCGTGGGATAAGGGTGTTATGATCATTGGGGATATGGATATGGGTGGGTGGTTCAATATTGGAATAGGAATGGGATGGGATAAGGTTTGAATATGCTTGAACGTAGCGAGTGGGAGTTTTTTTTGGACCCCGATTAGCGAGCGGTATTGATATTTGAGATATAATGAGTAGGCGAAAATGGACAAGCTCATGTTGATTGTAATTGAGCTTTGGGGGAAGAACAGTTTGAGACATTAAGGAAGTACAAGAAATTTGGATGTATCGTTTGATTGATTGTTGCTTCCTTGGCTTTGTGCATGTGATGGATGGATGGGAAGTGGAATTTCGTAAAGTATATATCATCCAAGTCCTACTTGTAGATGTTCAAAGAGTTCATAATGCTTCAGCGTTATCACTCCAGGACATCGGATATGGTACCTAGAAGCTGTCAGTTACAAGATAAGTCATCAAGTTATGAAGGGGCTCTGATACTTATTTATAGGAACAACCTCGGATTACCAGACATTTACTATCAAGTTCCGAAACAGCCTCGTTCAAGTGGCCCGTGCATACAAGGCTAGCTATCTCCATATGATCTCAGCCTTTACAAAGAATAACCCTCATTTCACTTACACATCATGTCTCCCAGCAGAGAAGCCACTCCACCCCCTCAAGGAGGATTCGCCCTCCTCAACTCCACTCATCGCGATATAGTCGAAGCCACTGCCTTCAACACCTACGGTACACGCTTTGCAACCGGTTCCGCGGACGGCAAAATCAAAATCTACAATCGACACCGCGACGGCATTTGGAATCTATGCGATACATGGGGCGCACATAATGGCGGCGAAGTCTTAGAATTACAATGGCTGCCGCCTATTATCCATCCGAATCTCATTGCGTCGATTGGTACTGATGGGAGATTTAAATTGTGGGTGGAAGATCCGACTCTGCCGCCTAATAAAGGGCGCCGATTCAATTCGCATAATAATCGGCCCGTGTGGGAAACGAGGAGTCATACGCGCGCACCGTTTTTGAGCTTTTCTATCAAACATAATGCCGATAGTAGACATACGTATATTGCGTTGCTGGATCGCGATGCGCAGTTGATAGTGTATGAGAATGAGGAGCCGGAAAATATGACGTCGTGGACAGAACTTGATCGAGTGAATGTGTGTGAGAAGCCAGCGCGAGGAGAGGAAGCTAGTTTTAAGGTCGCTTTTGATCCGAATTTGGAGCCGTGCTATAGAGCTATTAGGGAAGGGGTCCCGAGAGATGCATTGGGATTGGTGGTGGCTAGTATGAATACGGCGAGTATATGGCGCACGAAGGAGGTTTCGCATACGGTTAGTCTGGGGAATTCGAGCTCGAAGGAACTTTATCTAGCGGCGGAGTTAAGGGGGCATAGGGGATTGGTGCGGGATGTAGCGTGGGCGCCGGGGAATATTAGGGGTTGGGATGAGGTGGCTACGGCGTGTAAGGATGGGGTTGTGAGGATTTTTAGAGTGGTGGCTGGGATGGAAGAAGAGGGGATGGGAATGGGGATTGGGGTGGGGTTGGGTGTGGGTGAGAGAAGTAGAGATTTTGAAAGGGTGCCAGAGAAAGTTGTTGTGCACAATCCGGCGCAAACGATTCTTGAAAATGGAGTCAAAAATGTTCCTTCGGGCATTGGTGCAGGTTTAGCAGGCCAAAAACCTATTCGAAGTATACAGCAAGAAGCGCAAGGTGAAGATGGAGCGGTAATTCATGCGGCCAAGGAAATCTCAAAATTAGTGACAGACCGAGCACCAGTGTGGAAAGTGGAATTTGATGCAGATGGGCAGGTGCTAGGCTCTACGGGCGATGATGGGAAATTAATGATGTGGAGGAGAGAACCGACGGGTATCTGGAGTAAGAGTGGGGAATTGGCAATGAATAGAGCGTGACGATGAGATAATTCGTGAATCGTGATGATCATCATATCATGAGAGAGAAGAGAGATTGGGGTCGGGATATTCAGAGAAATCCCCAACTTGGAGTATTATCAACGGCATCTGGGGATGTGTTCGAATCACAGGGATACCGACCGTATTGGAACTCGGGAGGCTGGCTTTGGCTTAGACTTTAAAGGCGTTGAGATTGAGATCGAGGAGTATTAGTCAGTATGAAATATTATAGGGGGGTATACAAGTACTCGTAGATGAATTTAACATTTTGAAATAACATCGGTGTCTTGTGCTAATATTTCGTATATTTCAACTCTTATCTCATCTCATCTCATCTCCTTGATAGTTCGCGTAGATCTACGAGTTAGATCTATCTAGATCTAGATCTCCATACCCAATCTCAACTTAGACATTTCATTCCATTGAATTTCCATTGAAGCGGCATGAGTTAACCCCACTAGCCTCGTCATTTGTTCTTCTCACCCCTGATGACCCCCCACTCAGCCCCATATTTTTCGCGATTCGAATGCGTGTCTTCTCAGCCTTGCGCAAGGCTTGATAAATTATTAATTGAAACATATATCTCTTCATTTCTATCTCCTCCCACGACACCCATTCAGAAATGCGCACTCCCCCCTCCAAACCCTCACCTTCACCATGAAACCCAATGCCCGCCCGCGATCCCCCTCCTCCCTCACCCTCCCCGAAACCCTCATCCACCTCTCCCTCACGCTCCTCTGCCTCCTCCTCCTCAACCCCCTCTCCCTCTTCCAAACCCAAACCCCCACCCGCGAACCACTCCTCGCCTCCCTCGCCCTCAGCGGCATCGCCTTCTCATCCACCTACTCGATGATCCGCTGGCTCGGTCCCACCTTCATACGCGCCGGTCTCAAAGGAACCGACCTCTCCAAACGCGATCGCCGGGAAATTCCCGAAACCATGGGTGCCATCTGCGCCGTCGTCTATTTGCTCATCATCATGGTGTTTATTCCGTTTGCGTTCTATAAGGATATTGTGGCGGCGACGAGTGGAGGTGGGAATAGGGATGTGGTGTGGGAGGTGAGGGAGGATCTGGGCATGGATGTGCAGAATGGGAGGTTTTTGCATAGGTTTCCGCATAGTAAGGTGAGGTTTTGAGGGGGTGGTGATGTGATGCTTGGTGTTGGTTATATGGAGGCAGCTTTTATGTCTTTTATTGCGATTGGGCTGGAAAGTAAACATTACATATGCTAACAGAAACAAACAGCTAGCATCCTACCTCTCGGCCATCCTCTCCCTCCAATCCGTAGTGATCCTCGGAATTGGCGACGACCTCTTCGATATCCGGTGGCGGCATAAATTTTTCATCCCCGCCATCGCCAGCATCCCCATTCTAATCGTCTACTTTGTCGATTTCGGCGTGACGCAAATCGTCATCCCAATCCCCCTACAACCCTATCTCGGCGAATTATTCCAACTGGGTCCTCTATATTACATCTACATGGCCGGCATCGCCATATTCTGCCCCAACAGCATCAACATCCTCGCCGGCATAAACGGCATCGAAGTATCGCAATCCCTCATCATCGCCCTCCTCCTCGTCCTCAACGATACCCTGTACCTCCTAACCCCGTACCCGCACCCCGCCACCGACTCACATCTCTTCTCGCTGTACCTACTGCTCCCCTTCATCGGCGTATCCCTCGCCCTCCTCTTCCACAACTGGTACCCTGCCCGCGTCTTCGTCGGAGACACCTACTGCTACTTCGCCGGCATGGTCTTCGCGACCTGCGCCATCCTCGGTCATTTCTCCAAAACCCTACTCCTCCTCCTAATCCCCCAAACCCTCAATTTCCTCTACAGCACCCCCCAACTCTTCCACCTAATCCCATGTCCCCGACACCGTCTCCCCCACTACAATCCACAAACCAATCTCCTCGAACCCTCCATAACCCCCTGGCCAAATCCTCCCAAACCCCTCCAAGCAACCCTTCTTCACCTCCTACATAAACTGCATCTCCTCGCTCTCAAAACCAATAACGAGGGGCACATAATCGAAAGTAGTAATTTCACACTGTTAAACCTATGGCTCGTGTGGTTTGGACCCAGGAGGGAAGATCGCTTGGCGCTGGAGATTTTGTGTATGCAGGGTGTGTGTGGATTATTTGGCTTGTTTGTGAGACATCGATTGGCGTTGTTGATTTTTCAGAGTGATAATTTGAGTGTGTAGTGTAGTGTAGTTTAGGTAGTGTAGTATAAGAAAGAAGGATGTGAAGTTGGGAGAAGTGAAAAGGGAGAGTGAGAAAGAGAAAGAGAAAGAGGGGGGGGGAGAGAGAGGATGGTATATATCGGGTATCGTATCTGGAATACGTACTCAAGTAAATAGATAGATAGATGCAGGCCATGTGTAAATGTAATCATACAAATATAGAGGGACATTCACATTATACTCATCCGATGTTACTCGAGTATATTATATCAACCGAGGACAAGCGGTTAGAACTCACATTGTCAAATCTATCCCCTCGATAACCTACCTACCTCATCACTCACAACACAGACACATACAAACACAAACACAGCAGCAATCCAAAACTCCCAAAGATTTTAATGCAAAATGCAAGTATTATTTGACTATTTTTTTTCAATTCAATAATGGATCAAAATCAATCAATATCATTATCAATGCAGCCCATTGAATCCCATCCCAAGTCATTCCATGTCATCTTAAGCCAGAGGCTCCCTAACCCAACATTCATCCATACATCCATCCTTTTGAAATACCTGGCATAGCATAGCATTCATTCAAGGAATGACCAAGATAGAGTTCCGACCAGTCATTCCCAGCCTCAACCATCAATCATCCCAAGCCTATCCATCCCTCCATTTAAACGTTCATCTTGGCTACCGGCTACCAAAAGCCAGCCATAAAAAATCTGCTAGCATATTTTTTCAAGTAAACGCATCCCTCCCAAAAATTTTATCAATTCCAATCCATCCTCCCAAAAGTCATCCGTCAATCATCATCAACAAAGCTACTGGTACAAGAAGGTTAGGCAAGGGGGGTATTTTGTTTTGCCATTGCCTAATGCAAGAATGATTTTCAGAACAAATGGAGAAGGAAAATTTCATTTTGACAAACAGCAACAAAAAGACACCCCTGATTGACTCTTTTTGGGCCCTCGAATGATTTTGGTGATCCGTTGTGATCACCCCGTAGAATAAAAAAAAGAGAAGTAAAACTTCTGGACTCCGCCCCAATGTTTACGCCTCGTCCCTCGACCTTAAAAGTAAGATCATATCCCAAACCCCTTTTGAACCCAAATAATACCGGCCACCGGTCCCAAACGCTCGATAGCTGAAAACTCCCACGCCAAGTAGAAAGACAAGCGAGGCAATAAAACACGCATCAAGCGAGATCTAAACTGTATGTTACAATGCGCCATTCGATTGTTGAGAGGGCATATTATTTTTCGGTGGTGGAACTTTGAGGGGTCCAACGAGAGCGGGATCCGCTTTCTCATCCGCTTCAATGATTGCAGATTCGCCGTCGAGAGCTCCTCGTGCTTTGGCTTCCTCAATGGTCGAAAGTGTTGGCTTGAGGACTGCTGGTGGCATTATGGGGCTGCTTCCTACGGAAGCCTTACGTCCACCAGAACCGTCCGCGTTCTGCTTCTTCCGGGCCTTATAATCATTGAACGACATTTTCTTCTTGGCAGGACTTGGGTTGACACTATTTGCCAATGTAGAAGGATAGGATGGGAAATGTGTTGTGCCATACGGCGATATTGCTGATGAGGGAGCTGCTGAAGCGGGTGTGAGAGTGCCTGGGGTTCCAGAGAGATTGGGCGTTGTAAAATTTGGTGTCGGAGGCAATTGTACCCGCAGTTCAGGTGATTTATGTGAATGGCCATTGGCCGAGTGTCCGGGCCAAGATGGTGGTTTCATTGTCTGTCCAGTGACAAGTGTTGGTCCATCTGCATAATAATCGCCAGGATTTGAGACCACGTCAACGGATGGAGTCGAGGAAACAATACTGACATTCCGAGTCCTTGTATCAGTAGGTGATTGAGTAATCGATCGATCTTCCTGATTTGGTCCGTCAACATCCATTGCTGTTGTAGGCGAGGAGGAATTCTGAGAATCACCATTCGTCAATCCCGCAGCAGTATTTTTGCATTGGCGTTCCTCTAAAGTCTGGACTTGCGCTTGAACCTTGTAACGATTCTTAAGCAAGCGCTGTGCAAGAGACAAGATAGGTTTCTTCAGTGTGGGTTTTACTTTCGGTTCGTACCATGCATTTTCTTCTCGATCTGTTTGTGTTGATGCTTCTGAATAATTCGAGACGATCGAATTATGACGTGACCGAGCGCTTGCTGAATTATCGCGAGATGGTATGAGGGGTTTCGGAGAGGCCATGACCTTTGGCGATGCAGCGCTAAGAGGCGACCCCGATGGTCGCTGTGATGTGCTGGCATCGACGTAGTCGTGAGGTCGGGATCCATTTGAATTAGCCAGAGCCGACCGTGAAACGGAAGTTCGTGATACTACTGACTTCTGTCGTGGTTTTGAGTTGGTCTGCGACGCCGTAGTAGTGACTGGTAAATTCACATTTGAGCCATCCGATGCTCTCTTCTTTTTTCGTGGAGGCTGGCCCTGTTCCATTTTTCTAAATGAGTCTTCCACCGCTGCCAGCTTTCGTTTCTCACGATCTGTCGGTTCTGTCAAGATGCCATTCGTTTCTCCGAGACCATGCATTGGTGTCAAATCACGACTGTGAGGTTTGCTTCGTACGGAGCCGGAAATGGAGCGAGAATCATCATCATCGTTTGTCTCTGGATTGCCTTCACTAACAGCTCGACTATTGGTAGCATGACCTGTACTCGTGGGAGAGACGTGCTGCTTCGGCTTGCGGCCTTTCTTTGATTTCACGCCGTTTGTACCATTGGATTGAGGTTGAGGTTGAGTATGCACTCTGCCGTAGTAATCACGGTGGAACTTCAAAAATGCGCAATCTTTACCGGCATTACAAGCACAACCTCCATGGTCCGATAGGACCAAATTGATCGTATTTGTGATGCTTTGATATTCATCTTCGGATATTTTAGGTCCATCAAAAGGTACCCTGTTGTCGTCGCCATCAAGATGAAGGGCACGGTCTAATCTTGACTTGTCTAAGAATTTGAAATCCCAAGGTAGTGTGATCTGCTCGTTCGGGGGGATAGAGGTGTCGCAGGTCAGGTAGAAGTGATACTCGCTTGTATTTGCAACGATGTATGTCTCCAAGTTTGCATTCGCCTTGCAACTTCGTCGAACATACCGGCACTGTGATCCTCCATCTCTTGTATCAATATACAATGGTAATCCGGGGATGAAAAAAGTGAGTGGGCGTGGATGAACACATTCTTCCCATCTGTTTTCCGGATTCTGGTGGTAATCACATTGAAGACCAATCTGACCGTTGATCTCTCCAATTGGTTCATTGGCCGGCGTTTTCGTTGTTGTGACGAGACTTTTCCACTGGGCTTTGGTGGTATTGTTGATTTGGGAAGTCCTGACATCGACGTGTAGCTTTGGAAATTGGTGTGGATTAAGTCGCATCATGAGTTTTCGAACAACATCATTGAACTTCTCTCCAGTATCTATTCCGAACTGTTTAGCATCTGTGATCCACGTCGATAATTTATTTGTGACAGATAAATTGGCCAGTGTATTGGTGTCGGTTTCTTGAAATTGATCATCATCATATAGCGATAGGAAATTACTCGAGTATGAATGAATCTGAAAGTCATTTGGCAGATCCGGTGGTGTGTGAATAGGGCTTGGGGGGTGATTATTGTTTCTCGCAGAATAGGGAGGGCTGCGTTTGACAATTTGAGAGTTGACGGAATGATGTGACCGATGGCCTTTCGTCTTTTTATGTGTATGACTATCGAGCGGGCCGGCGTTCTTGTGACTATCTTGGTCGTTGGAACCGTTGATTTGAATTTCAGAAGGCTTCAATTTCTTTTTATGACTCTTTGTGGTAGATCTTTTGTTTTTCTTGTCATTGTTATCATTGATGGATTTGATCTGACGGTATTTTTGCCTGTCGGTCGCATGCCGACCGTCGAGTGGTTGTGGATTGCAATCGTCACAAAGGTGAGCGAAATCTTCTCTGGAAGCATCATCTATGCTTCCAGGATAATAACACTCAATGTGCTGCCATGTATCGCAATTGTCACAATATATCGTGTTTCCATCATCCTCAGTGATGCCGCAGATACACCTGATGATGTAAGGCTCGTCACCCGCAGACTCGGTCACAGGTTTATCATCGTTGGTAGAGATGACAGCAGTAGAAGAAGTGGTAAAGGATGACTGGGTCGGGGTCGCAATTTGCGTCGAGATAGATAAAGCCCTTTCTGTCATAATCTAGAAGGAGCCTTCGGGTGGCTGTTCGAGTGAGAGGATAAAGGTGAGTTCACTGATTCCAAGACCTGAGTCGCATGACGAAGACGGCCACGACTCGAAGCAATTAGTTGTCGCAGAGCGATAACGGCACTCAATTCCGATGATATCTTTCATCAGCTATTGAATTAAACATGAGAGTCTTCTTGCCTTCCTTTGGCGTACGCCAACAATGTGAAATTCGTTCAACAGAAACCGTAAGAAACCGTAAGACGAGAAGGACGGATGAATCGACGATTGTAGGCAACTTGGAAACGATATATTATTAGAATATGATATCTGCGACTTTCATGTATTGAAGTGTATGTTCTGCAATTGAAACCGTGTTCCTAAAGGAAAGGGTTTTCAAGTCCAGAGTGGAGGCGAAGGGTACGAAGAAGAGACAGGGCTTTTTTAGAAAGATGATCTCGAAAGGACAAAGACAAGACGATTCGATTCAACCGAGTTTGCGCTTTAGAATGTTTACGCGTTATTGTATGATGTTCGAATAGAGAAACAGGATCGATGGAAGATATGTTGAGGTATCCTATTTGTAAAAGCGTGAGAGGAGGAATTCGTAAGAGAGTAAACTGTGTGTGTGTGTGTAAAGATCGTGAGTGAGAGGGGGGGGGATTTTAGTTGAATGAGTGGTGGCTCTTTCGAGAGGGAAAGAAGGAAGGAACCTTCAAAGTTAGTAGGGATGCCGCTTCAAGTTTAGTGGTCAAGCCGCTAATGATTAGATAGGTCCGCGAAGTCGCTGCACACAGAAATATATCCAACGCTGCTTTTGATTAGTCGAACCATGATGGAAAAGTAAAGGTGAGAGAGAGAGAGAGAGAGGAGAGGAGGGGAGAGGATAGAGAGGTAAGAAAAGAGAGAGAGAGGGGGAGAGAGAGAGAGAGAGAAATAGATAGATAGAAATAGAGATAGAGAGAGAGGAAAGAGAAAGAGAGAGAGAGAGATAGAGAGAAAGTGAGAGATAGGTGATTGATGAAGCAAGCAGTAAAAGCCAAAAGCTTCGATGATATATTACTGTGATGTAAAAAAAAGTATTGCATTGTAATCATTTGATTAATCTTTTTTTTTTTCCTCTTTTCCTGATGTTTGTTGCTATTCGGAGTTGATAGCGAGGAGCAATTAGAGAAGAGTGAGAAATAAATAAGGTTGTGTATAATAGAGGACAGGCAGGCTAGGACAGGGGAAAATGAAAATAATTAACGGATGATGAAATTATCGTAAGAAAATTCGAAAATAATGAATTTACTTCGAAGGTTTCTTGAATAAGTGAATGAATGAATAGATACCGGTAGATAGATGAACGAATGAAGTTTTAATGAAAGTCGATATAAATTTGAAATAAAATATAATAATAATAATATGACCTGGGGCTGTGCTGTACTAGATAGCTGAGTAGATAATTTTTACTTTTGCTTTTTTTTGGTGAAAGGTGGTGTTGGTGAATGAAAATTGATATATGAATGGACAGATGAGCGGGATGAGCAGATGGGGAGGGGGAGGTTGGGTTGTTGAAAAGATACGAGTAGGGAAGAAGAATAATAATTTATCGGGAAATAATTGATAAATAAGGTAAAAATGATGACGGAGCCAGCCAGAATAAGCAATGGTGCTCAGATAGATAATAATTTAAAGCGGCAAATAATTGTAATTGGCTTAAGGTTAGACTCGAAAGTAGATAAAAGTCGTGTTTTAGCTTTTATAACCGGGAGTTCCAAATTGTGTTGAATCTTAGTCCAAGTCCAGTTGGAATAAGCCGATCGTCCACTTCTCACTCACTCAAATACCTAGGAGGAGAGTAGGTATGAATATGGATATGGATATGGATATCGCAATATGTATGGAATAATAACAATGTACTCCGTATGTGTACAGTTATGTACTGAGTAGGTAGGGATGTTGAGAGTGCGCGCGTAAATGAATGGGATGACGATGATTAGCCATTGGATACTTACCTACCTATAGATCAAACATAATGCATTGATTCTTGTGACGAAACCAATGTATCATAATTCCTTTACCTGGCAAACTCCTGATAGTCACGTGGTTCAATTCAAATTTTGTAAATGTTCAATTTCATCTAAACCGTAAGTCTTAAAAAGTCACCACAAATGGGAATAGCTACATATTCGTATAAATCGATCTTATTGTCTAAAAGGCTTGTTTGTCATATTACACCAAGTTGCATGAATACCATATTCTTTGAGCGAATGCCAACAAATCATTCTCCACAAAATGTCTTTTTGGGAAAATGCAGGGGCCCATATCCGAGATGTCAACAATCATATTCAATTTCTCGTGTTTTTATCGTGAGCGTCAAGAACCGCACGCATCCGCTCAAACAAGATGACAAGCTACTTTTCTCGGATGACCTCATATCATCCGTATCATCCTGTCGATATTAACCTTTCTGGAAAGTTTGTCGAGAATGATTTCAGCCCATATACCCTCATCATTGCGTTTGCAACAACATGGGCTTTGGTGCTCGGCGCAACCCTCTTCGCCGTGAGAAGATTTTATCCTAGACTCAGTATAAAGGATCAAGGCCTTTTCTTATGGTTTATTTTGAGTAAGTTCGGTATGCGATTCTAGTTGTCTATAGTGAAGTCTGACATTTGGACAGCGGGGTCCATTCACATATTCTTCGAAGGATATTTCGTCTATAATCATGCTCGAATGGCAAGCATGACGGATTTTTTCGGTCAACTTTGGAAGGAATATGCTTTGTCCGATTCGAGATATATGTCCTCCGATACATTTTTGTTGACGATAGAGACATGGACTGTTGTGCGTATGCCATTGTCCGAAGTCTGCGTCTAGTATGCTAATGATTGAGACAGATACTTTGGGGACCGCTTTCTTACCTCACAGCCGTATTCATCACCAAAAATTCACAATTCAGATATACAGTACAGGCACTTGTTTCGACAGGGGAACTCTATGGGAATCTATTATACCTTGTCACCAGTTTACTCGATGAGTACATCACTGGCAGACGGTATTATCGACCGGAACCATTATACTTTTGGGTATATTTCGTATTGATGAATTCAATATGGCTATTCGTTCCCGGATGTAAGGATTACTTTCCAAATTTGACCTTACTTTGGCTAATTTTGAACACCCAGTTGCCCTCTACGACAGTATCATGGCTTCCGCAAGGTCCTTTGAGTATTCAGATCCACCAATCGGAGGAAAACGCATTAGAAAAGCCAAAGATGAAGGGAGCAAAAAGGAAAAAGAATATCGCACCAAAGTTCCTGCCTCTCAAGAATCCGACACCAGGTCTAGAAGAGGTGGGAAGACTAAGTCATACAACGACGACTTTTCGGGTTGAACTCGATGAACAATGATATCGACCATCGCAGTCCCAAGATCACACCTCAAATAGCTTCCGCCAGACAAGAACAATATACCTCGCCACTACATCTAGTCGGGAGGTATCAAGCGGTGATGGATCAAAGACTCTGGGTTGGAGGAGAGGAGGGTGGAAAGTACTCAGGCTGTTTTCTCAGCCAGCAAATGCCGTTATGAAAACAAAATTATGATACCCTTTACGATTAACGAGTCCATCTCTTGACGCTAGTGTGGGAAATTGTTGGACCATCTCACATCATATTGTAGATCACGCATTTGCTCTGCCTTTTTATAGAAAATATCACAATCTCTACATATCATCCCCAGTACCATTGAAAATACCGGTTTACGCCAATAATTAGAATGACGATCTCATGGGCCGAATTACCGGTATGCCAAGCTGCTCCAATATCTAAGTAAGCGTTTTCTTGGTACCGGATATGAGAGCTTCTCTCAAAAAATGTGAAAGCCAAATTAAGCTTAAACCTTTTTTGGAGCTGGATATAATTTATGGTATGTATATGTATATTTGTATGGATTGGGATATGAGAAGTGATGGGAGATGCAGGTACCGCATCTCTTCCCCCCTCCACAATGTCCACATAAATTATATTATATAGGCGGTACGGATCGTATCCTTGGTGCTTTGCTGCAAACTTTGTTTCTATAAATCTATTGAGGTTATCGATTATTGATTATCGATTACTTGAGATTCGAAGAAGAGGAGAGAGGAGAGAGGAGAAGAGGGATCTCCCAGAGGATTGGATATATAAATGTAATGTACATAATGTCTTTCAAATCTGATAATAAGGTAGGGTAGGTACTTAAACTCTTACGTAGCAGTTCCCTCCCCCTCCCCTCTGTTCCAGAAGGATTTAAGGAATGTAAAAATAAAAATGAATATGAGACTTGACTTACTTTGAAATGTCTGGAATGTCTGTACCAAAGTTCTAACCTGGGGAAGATATTGATATTCCGAGGTTCATTATAGGTTATCCTAATTTCATCGAATGAATCTTAAAATGATTTTAGCCTGTGGATTTTTAGATGATATGATGAGATTTGGTTTAATGAGGTTATTTCTTCTGTCCTATTGAAGAATAGGGTAATTTGTTTTATTGTCTTTATGTGTTCTGTACTAATTTCATTGGTTCAAAGTCGAAAGTCGATATATCAAATAATCTGTTGGATATTCATGATTCATGCCAAAAAGATATGAGATTATTGGCTCAAGTACTCAAATTATTTAAACCCTCACATATAAGGCATTATATTTTAAAGCCATCTTATCGAAAACGTCCAAAACATTTCAAGCTTGAAACCTTTGGAGAAGCTTCAATTGCCTGCTCATTCAATGTGAAATTGGCTTTTGATATTCACAACTCACCACTCACCACAAACTTCATCATATCCCTCTCACAATCCTCTCAATCCTCTTCAAAATCTTCGCATTGTCTTTTTTCCAAAAATAAACAACCACCAAAAATCAAATCAAATTAATATATCTTCACCATCTCTTTTGCCCCCAAAACTGGTACACGCTCATTAATGTTAATCTCCTATCACTTGAATACCTATCTACCACAGAACACAACCTTCACAACTCACTCCTCTTCAAAAACAGCTTCACCAATTCAATCGCTCGATTTTACTTTCGTATAATAAATATCCTATTGCGAATCATTGATATTTTTCGATTTGAATTTCTGTCCCATTCACACCGCCGACTTTTCTCAATCATCCCACTCACCTACCTCCCTACCTACCCTACCTACTCGTCCTTCGATACCCATCTCCTACGCGAATACAATCAACTCGTTCCTTATCGAATAACGAGCAGGACTCAATAAATAAATATACTTGGAGATCTAGACTTTCTCGTATTCAGATAAATACATCAATCACAATTTGGAATATACACGGGGAAAAAGGGGAAAAACGAGAAAAAGAGAAAGTCGCGAGAATAAAACATTTTTGGCTTCTTCTCAATCGATAGTTATTGTTTCATGTTCTGCAGACACTGAATGTTCCTTGACCTTTAAGTCGCCAACACATGCGGAGGTCAATTGAGTGGAACCCTTGCGACTCGACAACGTCAGAATTTCGAGCAACTTCTCCAAGAAACGATACGAACGATACGAGATTGATTCAATCTACAAGGACGAATACCATCATCTACCATCAAAGATTACATTTTCATTATTCACGCTGGCTACCGCGATTCGAAGTGCTCGATTCAAGCATTATCTCAATAGTACAATATAATAGGGGGCTTAAACAAGGTCTGGAGATAGTTGTGTGGGTAATAACATTGATCATTAAATAATGGGTCCTCAATCAGAGGAAGGCCCCTATGCCGAAGGAGAAAAATATGATCTTTCACATTCCGATGATGGGGGAAGACATACAACTGGGAGGGACATCACAATGCAAGATCAGCATCTGCCGAAACCCAATGGCCCGGATAGGAGGATGAACGCATCTCCAGCAAATAGTGCGAGTGGTAGAGAAGGACCTCTGAGAGAGGGGAATCACAGGCCAAGTAATGAGCGCACACGATCACGAACGCGAACTGGGAGGACTGGAAGTGGAAGTATAAGGTTGTGTAAGAAGTGCGGTGAACCTTTGACAGGTCAATTCGTACGTGCGCTTGGAGGTACATTCCATTTGGATTGTTTTAGATGTCGAGTAGGTTATTCCCGTGTTTTATCATCTCTACTGCTCAGTTTCTGACCCCTGCGTTTTATAGGACTGTGGTTCAATAGTCGCATCGAAGTTCTTTCCGGTTGACGAAGAAAATGGCGAAGGGCAATACCCACTCTGCGAGACTGATTACTTCCGACGTTTAGATCTGATATGTCACAAATGTGATGGAGCACTTCGAGGTTCATACATCACAGCACTCGAGCGCAAATATCATATCGACCATTTCACTTGTTCGGTATGTCCTACAGTGTTTGGCGCACAAGATAGTTATTACGAGCATGATGGACAAGTTTACTGTCATTACCATTATTCGACACGGTTCGCGCAACGATGCAATGGATGTCAGACGGCAATCTTGAAGCAATTCGTCGAGATATTTCGAAATGGACAGAATCAGCATTGGCATCCTGAATGTTATATGATCCATAAGTTCTGGAATGTCAGGTTGGCGTCTCCGCAGGATGTCCAAGAAATTCAACAGGAACTGGAAGATACGACGGACGGGGAAGGCCGAAATGCTGTGCGACTAGAAGAGGAAAGAATGGAAGAAAAGGTCTACAAGATTTGGAGTGTATTATCGACATTCGAAGAGTCCTCTGCGGCTTGTATATCCGACATGCTTCTACACGTGAGCAATGGTGCATATATGGATGGTGTGATGGTGGCAAAGAAGTTTATCTGGCATGTTGATATACTTTTCTGTTCTGCAGACAAGTTGGATGGCATAATGATGAGGGACGGTTCAAAGGGTGAGTATTTTCATCTACATTCACATCGCTTTTGCTAATTTTGTTAGGGCTTTCATATTCGCGCGAAGCAAAGTTATTATGCAAGAAAATTGTAGCCTTTTTCTCTCTCCTGTCCAAGACTCAGGAGACAGGAGTTCGAAAACTTGGCGTTACACAAGAGCTTCTCGCATTGGTGACTGGTTTGGCTCACTACCTGAAATTATTGATTCGAATTTGTCTTCAAGGCGCATTAAAGGTCGAACGAGATCAAAAGGATCCAGAAGGCCTTCACCAATTTCTTGACGACTTGGGTGATATGGATGCAATCAAAAATGATGATAGATCCTTGGAAGCTACCACAGGAACCCCTGGACTTTCGGCATCGAATTCGGATTCGTGCATCAAGTGTCAAAAGCCAATCGAGGATGAATGTGCTCGGTTCAAAGAAAGAAGATGTCATTTGACATGCCTTCAATGCTCCAATTGTGATCGAGATCTTGCTCAGAATCTCGAAGACATCAGGTTTAATGATGTAGAGCAACGGGTCCTTTGTAGTAATTGCCAAGGTCAGGCTTTGAATGTGGTATCCGGATTCGCGCGAGTGACTAGGTTACAACAGTATGTATTCCTTCTGAGGGTTGCTTTAGCTCGACTTCTCGAAATATTACGGACCAATGGTGCTCTTCCACACACTTCGGATGACCCTAACCTAAATGGGTACAATTCGAGTCAGGGCCACAAAGTACATTCTGATGACGACCCTCCTATGCTGAAGACTGAAGCACGTTCAAAATCATTTGGAGGTCCAGTCGATGAGAACCCTCGTGAATCATCCTACGAGAATACCTTGAATGACGTAAGGCGACTACGAAGTACTCGAATGGACAAACATTTGTCTTCTACCATCAAGAAAGCGAGAACATCGCGGATAATGGATGGTGTTGACGGTCAGAGACCAGGATCTTCGGGAGCTGAAGGATCAGGTTCGAGAAACAACGAATTCCAAGTAGGGGATCAGGATGGGAATGGCGAATCGAGGACCGAATTAATGTTTGGACACCAAGATGCCCTAACCCTGGACGATATTCCTAGAATAGTGGCTGCTGAACAAGCAAAGGAACAAAGACCGAATGCATACAAGCATGCCCGTCATGAACTCTTTCGAACATCTATTACTGAGCCGAAACTCGTTAATGGTCATCAAAGAACTTTCTCGGCTGGTAATGACTTGGATGCACAAACACAACGTCAACAACAGGAGAGAGTCTCGGGAAAGAAATATTTCTCGGAGTTATCTGCTTTGGAATACTTCATTGTACGCCATGTTGCAGTTATCGCCATGCAGCCCATGCTGGACGGCCATTTTACCATGGAAGAACTTCTCAACCTGATTGAGACCAGAAAACCTACTTTCTGGGGCAAGATGGGCAAAGCTTTTAAGAATGATGGTAAAAAGACAAGCGTTAAGAAGAAGGGTATATTTGGTATACCACTCGATGTTATCGTTGAGAAGGATGGTGCTGAATCGACAGACGGTGTTGGTCCTGGAGCTCTCAAGATTCCTGCTCTCGTCGATGATGCAATTGCTGCGATGAGAAAGATGGATCTCTCGGTTGAGGGTGTCTTCAGAAAGAATGGTAATATCAGAAAACTGAATGAATCAGTCAAGGAAATTGATAGCGGAGGATGCGATGCCGTGGATCTTAGTCAACAAAATGTCGTACAAGTCGCTGCTTTACTCAAGAAATACCTTCGAGATTTGCCAGATCCTTTACTAACTTTCAAACTCCACAACTTATTCATCGCTTCGCAAAAGATAGCCGATGAAGATAAGAGACGTCGAATGTTACATCTAACATGTTGTTTACTTCCAAAGGTACACCGAGATTGTTTGGAAATTCTCTGCTCCTTCTTTAACTGGGTCGCATCATTTCATCAAGTTGATGAAGAATCTGGATCAAAGATGGATACTCACAATCTTGCCACCGTCATCGCACCGAATATCATATACACGAATGCCAAATCTCCTGTTGATGATAACTTCCTTGCAATCGAGGTTGTTCACACACTTATTGAGTGCAATGAACAGATGTGTGAAGTAAGTTGACCCATTTCCAATTGAGTTTGCATATCACTAACATCCTGAAAGGTACCAGAAGATCTCCAATCAATACTGAATGATCCCACACTCTTCAACAACACATCCGAAATAACCACGAAAGAAATCCTTAAACGCTATGGTGATATCAGCTCCAGCGGTGGCGTCCGTCACCAGGTCGAAACCACCGAAGCTTCAGGTCACAGAGATGGTAGTGGTCGTCCTCTAGCACCAGTCGTCACTAGAGTCGATGTCGATCCTGCACATCCCGCTTGGCAAAAAGAAAGTAGCGTAAGACATGTACAGGATCCAGTTCCTCAATCAGGATATAATCAAAACACACCACCGAGTCAACAATGGCAAGGGGGTGAAGGTGCGGAGTTGCAACATCCAGCGGCGGTGTATAGGGAACAACAAAATAGAACGCCGGATATGGGGCATGGACATGCGGAGAGAGGAGATAGAGATAGGAGGGAATTTAGAAATAGCGGATGGGGACCTGGGAGACCACCGCAGAATGGAGGGGTAGGTGTTACGGGTGCGGGATAGTGAGAGTTGGCATAGGGGGAGGGCTGAATTGATACATAAAGAGTGAATAGGGTATGGGTATGGGTGCCGAGAGAAGATAGTAAATGAAGAGAGATGAGAGAAAGCGGGAAAGCGGGAAAGCGAGAAATGTGGAGGATTATCTAATTGGGATATGCATATCTTGATTAGAGATAAATTAGTGCTCGGATGGAGTAAAGTAGGAGCATGGATGATGTCATCCATCCACATTATACAATAATGAGAAGTTATATTATGTTGTGTGTTGTTTTTTGTGGTGATTTGATGTATTTTGTGGTGTGGTGTGGTGATGTGTTTTGTGGTATAGTACGGGGTGTAAGAAGAGGGCTTGAATGTGTTGTTGTGGTAGGATGTAATGTAGGTGCGATGTGATATAGGTATTATATGAGCTAAGATAGGTAGAGGTGGGTGAGTAATCAAGATTGAGGTCGTAATGTAGAGAAAATTAATAGGAGTTATGGGATGGGATGGGATGGGATTATTAATTGAGAGCTTTATTTTCTTGTATCTATTTAAGATATTATAGTTTCAAGAAGGGAGGAAGGCGGGTTGATTTAGTTGGGTTGGGTTGGGTTGGAGGGAGGGAGATTCAAATTTGAAGGTTGATGTTTGAAGTTTGATGCTTGAAGTTTGATGCTTGAAGTTTGAAGTTTTGAGAGAGGAGAGAGGAGAGAGGGAGGGGATAGGAGGGGAGGAGAGGAGAGGGAAGGAGAGAGGAAGGAATAGAATAGAACAGAATAGAGCTGGGCAGGAACTTGAAGGGAGAGGAGAGAGAGAGTTGAGATTCAGATTAATATTGATATTAATATTAATATAGAATATAAAGAAGTAGAGAAGCTAGTATAGTGTATTATGTTAGAAAGTGATACCCTATGGCGTAGTGGAAGTAGCAGTATTATTGACTATCTATAGAAAGGAGAAGAAGGTACACGGAACAGCCCTAATTATATGGTAAATAAATATCTAAGGCATTCATTCGAATTAGGGTAAGGTAGGGTAAAGTAGGGTAAGGTAAGATAAGATAGATATAAATATAAAATCTATAATATATAACCTCAATTTCCAATACTCCCCTACTAAGATTATTTCCTTTTATATTCTATATATATTACTTTTTCTTATATTTCCAATCCCAATATTTTCTGGAATCTCTTGAATACTATTTTTTTTATATAGTTTTATTATTCTATTGGTTATTATATCAATGATATTGATATAGCTAGTAAAGATCTTTCCTTTTTTTATTAAATCTCTAATAAAATAATAGTATATATTAATATATTTAGATCTCTTATATATATATAGATTCTTGGTT